GGACACATATCGATGGTGTTTTCTGAATTGAATATTCTGACCAATTGTTTTAAAATTATTTTCAAAACTAAGAAACAATATAACAAATAATCCATACAACATAAAACAGACAAAACTATGATTTGGTGGCCACCTCCTATTTCCAGAACCAGTGCTTTCCAACCCAAACAAGGGCCCTTCCATGTTCTGAGGATCCCTCTGATTCAGGAAGTAATGCTGTGTTCAGCCTTCCCATGATTCCCACAGATGCGTTGCAGACAGAAAGGACCCTTGCCTGTACCTCCAGAGGCTTTCGGCTGCCTGTTTCTCAGCCAGGCTGTTGAGGACCTTGGTGAGGATCTGTAGGTGGCCTCCAACAAACTGGGTTCATCAGAGGTCTCGGCTCCGCTATGCCAGAAGCCCTCAAGGCCTCTGTGTGAATAATAGGGATTGGGACTGGTGGCTCTCTTCAAAGGCTGGTCCTGTCCTGATTTCTCAGTTCCCAGTTTGCTGGAGCCCCAGGGCCCAACGCTGGTCAGAAGAAAATGACGAATCGGGCTGAACACCCAGATCTCAGTGGAACCTCCAAAGGTTATGGGGTCACTCAGAGATTCTCGGTGACCATGAATACATTCCATAAGAGGAGACTTTCTTCAGATAGTTGCACCAGGACCGCACCTGAGAGAGCCCCTAAGATGCAGCGCCTGGCCTTTTTCATTTTTGTTTTTCCAAAACAAAGTTTCTCTGTGTAGCTCTAGTTGTCCTGGAACTCACTTTGTAGACCAGGCTGGCCTTGAACTCAGAGATCCACCTGCAGCTGTCTCTGAGTGCTGGGATTAAAGGTGTGCAGCACCACACCCAGCAGAAGCTTAGTTTAACATATGTGTCTTGCAGCTGTCAACTTTTTGGGGCAGAGTAAGCAAGTCTGATTACAAAAGCAGAAGCAGTGGCTAATCTTATGACTAATCTTGCAAGAACAAGAAGTCTTTCAAGATAAGTCAATTTTGAGAATAGTCTTCAACATCTGGAAGAAGAGGGAAGAGGGCTGACAGGGTACAGCCTATACAAACTAGAGGTTCATCCTTATCTATACCTATCTATCCATTTATATATTGATATCTTAAGCATTGGTGTAGGAGGGTCTTCTTTGTGTTGCTTTCATTGGTCAAATAAAGAAACTGCCTTGGCTTTTTGATAGGGCAGAATTTAGATAGGTGGAGTAGACCGAACAAAATGCTGGGAGAAAGAAAGCAGAATCATGCAGACGCCATGGCTCTCCTCTCCAAGACGGACGCTGGTTAGACTCATGCCAGTAAGCCACAGTCAAGTGGTGATACACATTAATGGAGATGGGTTAAACTAATATGTAAGAGTTAGCCAATAAGAGGTTAGATATAACGGGCCAGGCAGTGTTTAAATGAATACAGTTTCCGTGTAATTATTTTGGGTAAAGCTAGCCAGGAACTGGGTGGTGGGAAGTGGGCAACGGCTCCTTATATAACAAAGCATAGTAATTAAATCTTAAAAGTAATGTTGACCATCACAACTCATGAGAGCTGGCCCCCTGGAGCTCACTGTACTACTTTCAGACAGCTCAGCAGAGTGGAGAGTGTCCTTTCTACTGCTCTGGGTCTCCTTCAGGCAGCTCTGTGTGATTCTCAGAAGTTCTTACTTTTTCTACAAGGTTGATGATGGAGGGCCCTAGTGAATCTGGCTTGTTTTCAGGAGCTTCCTGAAGCTTCTGAGTTGTTTACTATTAATACTGAAAATTACAAAAGACCAATTCCACAATTTTTGAGCCAAATTTGAAGTATGCTCCAATTAGATATTGGCCAGGATGATGGACAATGGCCAGGTCCATACCCAGGTTCCCAGGAATGTCACTGAGTCACATTTGCTGAGATTTCTAAAGGTATAATCACAAGGCCACCAATTTCCAATCAGGGGCAAGCATATATTCTGACATATTTTCTGTCTGTGTACCTTCCACCTACATCCATCCAACCAGGGGTAAGTGTACATCCTGACGTATTTCCTGCCCACATTCCTCCTGTCCACATGTGATCAAGCACATATGGTGTGGATGGATCAAAAAAAAAACATAGAACAAACAGGAACTTATTCTTAACTGTCTTAACTGCAGACAGAACCCTTAACCTGCTGGTCTGGGCCTCTTCCAGGTATATTTTTCCTGTTTTAGTCTCCCATTAACTTGCAAGGTACCCTATTCTTGTTTTTGTTTTAGTCTCACATTTACTTCAGGATAGTCTTAAGGAGCCTCCCTTTAAAACATCTTGTAACTTAAGGAGCTTCCCTGAAGGATGGAATGTATCAACTCACAGGTACTGTTCTACAACAATGATAAAAAAAAAGTCTACATAGTATCTGCAAACTAGGCAGCCTAGTTGAATGGGCTCCTGGTAGCTAGAAGTTCTGTAGACCTTGAAGTCTGGAACTGTAGCGATAACCTTGTTTTGATCTAAAGAAAAGTTGTGTATAGCCTGGGAGAAGGATAGGATATATCAGCTCCCTCAAGCTGTCATACCTGACCATATATGAGTCTAGTGGCTGGGTGAGGATATGGCTAGGGGTAAGGCCGCAGGAACAAGAGAATGCATCAGTCAACAGTGTGTGGACCTGCTTCCAAGCCCAAATGTTCCAGGGGCCAGAGACATCTCCTGTAGGGCTTAGAACTCTCCAGACACTTCCTCCCACACACTGTATCCACTTGAAACCAATCTTATCAGGTGGGTGGTATGAGGGTGTTTTAGGGTTTCTATTGCTGTGAAGAGACACCATGACCATGACAACTCTTATAAAGGAAAACATGTAATTGAAGTGGCTTACAGTTCAGAGGGTCAGTCCATCAGAGTGAGACATTTTAGCTGGAGACATGGTGCTGGAGAAGTGGCTGAGAGTCCTTTATCTTGCATCAGGAAGTGGTCTGTCTCACTGGGTATAGCTTGAGCATATGTGAGACCTCAAAGCCCTCCTCCACAGTGACACACTTCCTCAAATAAAACCACATCTCCTGATAGTGCCACACCATTTGGGGACCATTTTCTTTCAAACCACCACATTCAACTCCCTGACCCCCAAAGGCTTATAGCCATATCCCAATGCAGAAATACATTCAGTCCAACTTCAAAAGTGCCATACTCTTTCACAGTCTCAAACTTATTTAAAGTCTAAAGTTGAAAGTATCATCTGAGAGTCATGTAATCTCTTAACTGTAATCCCCTATGAAATCAAAATGGCACAGGATATACATGACCATTTCAAAACATAGGAAAGGAAGCATAGTGAGGAAATACTGGACCAAAGCAAGATCAAAACCCAGCTGGGCAACTTCCAAACTCTCCATGCCTGAGGTCAAATGCTCTTCAGATCTCCAGCTCCTTTCAGCTTTGTTGACTGCAGCACACTTCCTTCTCTCGGGTTCGTCCCACTTCCTATCAGCAGCTCTCCTTGACTTGGATCCCACTGCTCTGGCATCTCCAACATCTTGGGGTCTCCAAGGCAGTCAAGGCTTCACCTCCATCACTTCACACAATGGTCTCTTTACTCCTCCACTCAGGGACACCCCTGACACATGCCTGGCCTCAGCAGCTTTCCTTAGTCTCGGGCAAATTCCATAGCTCCTTTCTTCCACTCTTAACTCCAGAATCATGTGGCCAAAGCTGCCAGGTTCTGCTGCTCACCAGGACTTGAACATGGCCCCCTCCTTCAATTACATCTTCACCAACTTCTTTCCTTCACTGCCTAAGCTTGGCTGTTCTGAACTGGATCTGTAGATCAGGCTAGGCTCAAATTCAGAGACCCACCAGCCTCTGCCTAGGATCCTAGAGGAACAAGGTTAAGTCTGCAGAAACAAAGTTGAGACTAGGACATCTCTGTGACTGAATGTGATTCTCGGCTCCAATATTGTCCCAACAACAAGGACAACTGTATGTCCTGTGAGAATCACCAGGGATAAGAAAGCTCCAATAGTGTTAGTGATGAGAGGGGTCCACAGGGCTGGTTGCAGTGTTGATGTTCACAAGCGGGACTGTCTCCAATTCTGAGTCTTAAGACCGAGGTTCTTTGTGGGAGCCAGGCAATAAGAGAACCTTTTACAAAGACAGGCCGAGCACGTGCGTGGGCTACTCCTGCAGGACTGAGTGAACACGTATACGAGTGGAAAGTTTCCCTCTCACTCTGGGTCTGAGCACCCAGTGCTTCATCCCCTGCCTCCTGGAGTGTGTGAGGAGGGAAGAGTCATAGCAAAAGGTCCTAGACATGCTACAGCCATAACTGCACAAGGCTATTCAAAGTGCTGTTTCCACAGAGGCCTGCCCCACACCCCCTTGGCAGAGGATGATGCTGGCCAATGAGGTGGCAGGAAGAGTAGGTTCCAGTCTCCACCCAGCTGATTAGGATGGGTCAAGTTGTTCCGCATCAGGGAGAGAAGTGACATAGGCTCATTTAAGATATGGGTGTCTGCCATCATGTGACTTACTTGCACACAAGGTGACTTGCTCTGTGTTACCCTGTGCATGGGATTCAAGGGACAGGAAAGCCTAGTTTTTGTACGAGAATGAGCATATGGGAGAGGTGCTTAGGCCACTCTGGAGTCCATTCTGGCGTTGGTTTGAAACCTAGCATTCACAGGCTGAGATACTAACCCCCAGGGTGACATGGGGAGGTTGGGGTCTTTGGGGATTATAAGGTCTTATGAAAGGGCTCCTGAGAGCTCCGTGTGAGGTCAGAAGAAAAAGGGCCCCCTCTGTGACCCAGGAAACAAACCTTCAGCAGGCAGAACTGAATGGAGCTCTTGGACTTTGCTGCTTTGGGATGTGTAAAATATAAGTTTCTGTTTTTAGACACCCAGAGGATGGTCTCTTGTTACTGTAGCCCACACAGACGGAGACGCTTCCGTATTCATTTCCTAAGGTTGCAGGGGATAAGGCCCTGCAAGCTGAGTGGCTCAAACAACAGAAACTTGTTCTCTTCTGTCTCTGAAGGTTGAAACTCCAAAGGCAGGCTGTCAGCAGGTTCTTCCTAAGGATTCTAGAAGGGGGATCTGACCAGATGCCTTGGCATAGCGATGGAGGCCTCCTCTTAACGCCCCTCATCCACAGCGTCTGCTCAGTTTTTCTATTTTTATAAGGATGCCAATTTGTTGGCTCAGGGTCCCATCCCTGATCTCCTAAGAGCCCCTATCATCTGGGTATAGAGCACGGCTTCAGTGTATGAACAAGGTGCGGTTTACTCTGCAGCAGACACATGTGTAGTGAATGAAGAGCAGGGAGGGCAGGAAGATACGGCCCCTGTTGCTTTTTCTTTCTCAAGTTACTTTGTTCTAGGAGGGAAAGACCTGGGTTGACGGCTCTTCAGAGTTTAGAAGGGGTCAGAGCACCCCTCTCCTAGGACCCCTGGTTTCCTGCTGTGTGAAGAGGTGCTTTTCCTGCTCTGAGGATGCATTTTCTTGTCCCAGTTCACCAGGCATTTAAATGTGAACAAGAAATCTGTTTCTGCGGGGCTCAGCTTCTCAGGGGCAGTTGAGGTCACCCTCCCTCAGGGAGATGAGCCCACCAGCCAGCTCCTGGGTTCTGGTCACGAGCTTCTAGCAGGTGCTTCCTCCCAGCACACTTCCACAGGACCAAGGCAGAGCCACAAAGGCTGCCGTCACACCATTCTGGTCAGTGACGCTCCAGAGCCCCAGAATGCTCAGGAGGGTGGTGAGCAGGAACCAGGGTGCAATGACCCTCTTCTCAAAGCAGGGAGGAGAGTGTTTCCCAGCTGGCAAGGGCCCCAGGAGCAGTGGCTGTGGGAAGCAAATTGCTGCAGGTCGCAAGCAATGGTCTGGACTTCTATTCTGATCATGCTGCTGGCCCACCTCACAGGTAAGGGAACTCCTGGGTCCTAGAGCCTCTTTGCCCCTCCTCTTGCCTTGCTCTGCCCGGGTGATGAGCATGCTTCTGTCTTCCCAGGTTGTGGCCCTCAGCCCGTGTTGCATCAACCACCATCTGCCTCTTCCTCGCTTGGAACCACCATTCATCTCACCTGTGCCCTGAGCAGCAACCATAACATCGACATTTACGGCATTTACTGGTTCCAGATGAGGCCAGGTCACCCTCCCAGGTTCCTGCTGGATCATTTCTCACACTCAGACAAGCACCAGGGTCCCAAGACACCCACTCGCTTCTCCGGATCCAAAGATGTGGCCAGGAACCTGGTGTATCTGAGCATCTCTGAACTGAAGCCTGAAGACGAGGCTGTGTATTACTGTGCCATGGGGCCCCGGAGCCAGGAAAGGGAGAAGTGGGTGGAGAGGGAGTGAGGAGAAGAAAAGTTGTTCCAGATTCGGGATCCCAGGCTCTAGAGGCATTCAGACCCTGAACTTTAGGTGCAGTTTGCTTTGCTCGGCTAGGCTGGTATAGGGAGGAGGGGTAGAGCATGGGGCTTCGCAGAGCCAAGGAGATGGAGCCATTCAGCTTTCCCTTGTCTTGCAGTGTTGTTGTGAGCCCCACTGGAGGCTGGGTTATAGAATTAAAGCTGTTTCTCTGAGTTTGGCTTGGCTGGTTTGTGATCTTGGAACCAATGTAAGAACTGGCTAGTAGTCCCTGGAACCTGACTGGTCGTTCTCAGCTTGACCAGGCACCGTGAACAAGCAGCTCATTATGATCACGGGGCAAGTGGATGACAGAAACATCCTGGATGGGGAGCTCCATGCCAGGGACAGGGTTTTCTATTGTCGCCTTCCTAGTCACAGAGTGAAGGAGCTTAGGGTACACCATCACTGGCCCTCTACTTTGGGGTACAGCAGGTTCCCCTCCTTGGTACTAATGATGCTTTGAGATGAGGCTGCTTCGTCATGGGGCTGCCTGTGCATTGCAAGTGTTGAGCAGCTTCTCTGGCCTCTACTACCAGATGCAGTGCACAGCACATGCCCCCTCTGTAAGTGATGACAACCCCAGATGGCTCCAGGTAGCAGTAAAGGTCCCCAGGGTGAGAGAGATACACCTCCCTTCTGTGCAGTGGAGTGATGGGGCCAGCCAACATTTCCCCAAAGGCCAGGTTGTTATCAGCCTTGTCGACGTGGACCATCTGACTGTTGAAATACCCAGTTCTGTCTTTACAGCAAAGCAACAGCCACAGGCAATGGGTGAGTGACCAGAGCAGTTGCCGGCAAAGCTAACTTAAAGGAATTGGCCGGGCAGGGCAGGATGTGGTCCTCGCCACAAATGACTGACCTTGCTCTGGAGAAAAATGTCACGACTCCTGCCTGGGTTTCAACAATCCCGACTTGGGGTGTCATCAAGGGCCTTCTCAGCTTTTCTTGTCTAAGGGCCTCGGATTCCGAGCTATGGCCTGTGGAGAGACACTAAAATATGAGGTATATGGTCCACTGAGGCCACACCAGGCTTGACTGCAGGGGATGAAAGAGTTCCCAGAGTCCTGGCCACAGCTTGGTGCCTCGATCTCCAGGGAGGTGGTCCAGAAAGTGCCCCTAAAAGTGGGAGTTTGTGCCGGATGGACATGCTTCACCTCAGGGAGGTGCCAGGCAATATGGTGTCCTTTGTGGATTCAGATGTGACTGAGAGCACCTGTTTACCACTGTTTACCCCAAGGGTCCCCTCCTGAGAGGTGGATACACATAAGTGTCACCCTTGCCTCCTTTAGCCCATGACTCTCTGATCTGTAACACAGAGGTTTCAGCTTCTGTTCTGCTCTGGCCCCTCCGGCTCCCATCTCCTTGACTTCTGTCCTGCCCTGGACCTCCGGCTCCCGTGTCCTCGGCTTCTGCCCTGCTCTGCCCCTCTGGCTCCCATCTCCTCAGCTCACCAAGTTATTTGCATGTGGCCTTCGCCCTGTGGGCAGAGTTCTGGGAGCATAATTTTCAAGGAGAGCTAGTAGTGTCTTTACTCTTACATGCCCCTCTTCTGCTGTCTTTTACCACCTGAGGTAACTCCATGCTGTAACAAGGAGTCCAGGAAGCAGTGGGGCAGTGGGGGCCCGGTCTCCTCCACTGGTTCCTCCTATCTCCCCAGCTCAGCGGAAGAAGACCTTAGACTTGGCCTGCCAGAGCAAAGACCGCCCTGTGTCTGGCCTGAAGTCCAATAGTTTTTTTTTTTTAATATGGAAAGGGGATAGTAATAACACTGACTAACATTTTAATTACTTAGTAGTGTATTTATCGTGTGTGTGTGTGTGTGTGTGTGTGTGTGTGTGTGTGTATGCTCACGCACCATGGCACACGTGTGGAGTTCAGAGGACAACTTGGGCGTTGTCATTTTTGTCTTTCCATCGTGCGAGCCTTAGCAGTCAAACTCAGGCCCTAACACTTGGCAGCAAGCACCTTTACCCGCTGAGCTGAACAATCTTGTTGGCCAAACACTGACTAATTTATACAAAATGCGTACCTTAGGCTTGTCTGTCACGGGTGTGGCCTGTTCTTCCTTTGTGCCAGTTCCTTCCCTTTTGTCCAAGTTGTTTCTCAGCCCTAGGCTTTCTCTCTCCCTGCTGGACCCTGGACTTGTCCCCCATCCTTACTGTCCCTTACTGCCTTCATTCTACCGCGGACTGTTTCCTGTATTCTAAGGCAAAGGGACAAGAAACATCCACAGTCCCCAACTCTCTAGCGGCCACATTCAGATAAAGTGATTGTGCACGCTGGCACGAACCTGTGGTCCCCGCTACTTGGTAGCTTGCGGCAGAAGATTGCTTGAGTTCAGGGTTTTTAGCCTGGGAAACAAAGTGGGACTTCCCATCTCTAAAAATAGCTTTTAAAAAATAAAAAAAAGAAACAGGTGAAATAGTTTCTAAGACATATTTTATTTAACACAGTTCATCTCCAATATAGTCATTTTAATGAGCGACTAATGTAACAGGCAAGTGTGAGCATTATTTCTTCTTTGGTATTCCATCTTTGAAATCCAATATGCTGTTACAGTTGTGGTTTACCTCAGCTCAGAACCACAACAACTGTGTACAGTGTATGAAAAGAACGCAGACTGAAGGGATGGAATTCAGATTCCTCATCATCCAGCCTTTCCTGTGCGGGAACTCCTGTCTTGTCCCGCCCACCAGCACTGCCCATTTCTGCACAACCAGCTAACTGCCACTGATCAGGTGCCTGGTTCGCTTGGTCGCCTCCAAACCTTCCCTCAAGCTGCTTACACTGGGAGGGTTTCCTGTCCCTGGACTGTGTCTGCCCTCTGCACAGCGGCAAGGCTCCACAGCGATCTCTCCTCCCCCTCCTTGGGCAACCGCTTCCTGGCTGCTCTTCGGTTGTTACCTCCCTCCAGTGGGCAGACAGCCTGTTTTCCTAATTACAGTTAGCACCTGCCTCGCAGCTCCGGTTTTATTAAGCAAGGCTCTTACACTAGCCTGCAAATTCCCAGCTGGCTGGAGGCTCCGCCTGTGATAAACCTCCAGGTGATGAGACAGGCGGGTGAGCGAGGGAATGAGAGATGAATGCATGGGCGAGGGAATTCTAGGCTACTCTCATTAGGATCTCATCGGGACCCCACAGTGGCTGGGGTCACTGCGATTCCTGGAGACTGGGGAGAAGCCCAGGCTCACATTCACATTTGTGACTGGCCACACTCTCTCACTGTCTGTACATCTGTCTCTCTGTTGCTTCCCTCTGTCGCATTACCATCCTCTGATGTCTGACTAATGAAACAAGTGACTGAATGCTGTAACCAAGAGGGGCCCGGAAAGGGGAAGCTTGAAGGAGGCAAAGGCACTGAAGAAACTCAGGGAACCTTCTGAGCCTGAGCCAGAGAGCTAGTGGAGGGGCTGGGTCCCAGTGCCAGGACCCACTACCCAGTAGGCAAAGACTCTGCTTAGGGAATCAAGAGGACTTCTGACAGTCGTGTGGAACTGTGGGGTTCCGAGGACGGTGACCTATGCACACAGCTTCCAAATGCAACAGGAAACAGAACCAACTGAACTGGACATGTTGACAGCAACTCAAACATTCTGACCTGAGAAAGATCCTGAGTCCCTGGGGGAGGGGATCTGAGGGGCTCCTGGATGTTGTGTTGGTATTTTACTCTTTGCTCTTTTGGGGGGCCCACCTCCCAGTTCCCAAATAAATCACACACAGAGACTTATTCTTTCTTATAATTGCCCAGCCTTAGCTTGGCTTGTTTCTGGCTACCTTTTCCCTCTGGGCTTTTATCTTTCTTTGTATACCTCTCTTCTTACTCCGTGCCTGACTGGGCGGCCCCTGATGTCCTCCTGTCCTTGTTCTCTTGCTCTCCCTTATCCCTGTTTTTCTCTCTATTTATACTCTCCGCCTGCCAGACCCGCGTATCCTTGTTTCTGCTGTTCGACTCTATTAGGACCATCAGGCATTTTAGACAGGCAAAGAATCATAACTTCACAGAACAGACTTCACAGAACAAACAAAAGTCACACCATAAAATAATATTTTCTAACACACACAAGAAAGTAATGTTTTTATACTATTTTAATATGACTTTTCTGTAATTATGTATCAGAAGTCTTCTGCTTCTCAAGAGGCTCAAGCCACACAGTCGTGGCTCTGGAAACAGCAAAACTAAAAATACAAAGTATAGTTTCCACAATGTGTGTGGCTTTCTACCATCATAATGCAAACAAACAAAACCCCTAACCTGTGGGGCAATATTATACAGGCCACACATTTCTACATTGTGTCGGCAGCCAACTTCTCAAGTCACAGGAGCAGCAGAGGTGCTGAAAGCTTCTTCAGACTGATGCTGCTCCAGAGTTCAGGATATGCTCCTCCTTTCTTTCTAATTATGTAGATCACCTGAGAAGAGGGGTCAGTTCCAAGCTAGTGACAGAGCTGCTACCCCCACAAACAGAATGCTAATGACCTTCCCCCTCAATTTACCTTGGGGGATAAAAGGTGTTTGGATAGTAAATGCAGGTGATCTTTAGGATTTGAGTGAATCCTGAGACTCCCTTCCGACATTGTGTGAACTGTGTCTCAGTTATTCCCATGACTCCATGCTGGTCCAGAGAGAAAGATAGTTTATGTTGGGGCATTGGACCCTGACGCTAACCCTATCTAACCAGTGTAGGTTTGTTGAGGTAGGGTTGGAGATCTGAGGACTTCCAATTATAACATACATATTCTAGCACATATATATACATTATATGTGTTTATGTGTGAGTGTGTCTCCTGCAGGTCTTTGAGCAGGTGTATGTAGGTAGGCATCAGAAGGCCTGGGTTCAGAACAAGCTCACATGAACTCCTGGAACTTTCCCTAGTGATAGCAATGATGCTGCCATGTCCTGAAATCTAACTACAGCGGACATTTCTGGAGTGAACACTGTGCTTCCTCTTGCACACGTGAAATCTCAGAAGGCAGGGACATGTTTATCTGTATATAACCATATTCGTGAAAAATATGATACATGGCTACTGTTGATTCAGGCAGTTAGAGATGTTTATTCATATTTCTAAACAGATACCCATGCTCTGCTCTACCCTGTCATTAGGGACGCTGACACCCAGGGGCATTTCTAGCCCCCTTTAGAAAATCCTTTGGAAAGAATTCACTCTTGGA